GGCCGGGGCGGGGCGGAGCGGGTGGGGCCGAGCTCGGGCTGCCGGGATGCTGCGTCTCTGGAGACGGGTGGTTGGCAACCAGTGCTCTCCTCCCAGCCCAGGACCCTCATGCCTTCTAAATCTTCCTTTTTTTCTGGATATCGCAGTGGCATCTTTCTTACCTTGTCCAACCTCCGGGCTCGAGATCTTCCTTCTGGAGCCATGTCAGAAGGAGTGGACTTGATTGATATATATGCTGACGAGGAGTTCAATCAGGTGAGGGGTCATCGGGAGCATTGGGATTTTCCTGTATCAGCTGAAGAATCACTTCCAGCAGACTTGCAGTGGTTCCAAGTTATGTCAGTCATTGAGAATTTACTAGGCCTGAAGACGCCTCTGACAGGTCTAAAATTTTCCCTCTAGCACAGACTTTAGGACTTCTGACCATTCCACTTTATGTTAATTTAAGCTTCCAGGCTTAATTTTAAAGGCTTTGATTTAAGAGCAAATAAAAATCAGGTTTAATAGAATGGTGAATCAACCTGTGGAACTTGCTCCCCCAGGAAGCCAAAGTTGGATGTCAGTCTCCTCAAAGACTAACCAGACTTAAAAATCAGAATTATGTTTGCTGTAGTATTCGTGAGGACAATGTTGATACCTGTTCCTTTGAGATTCTCCCAAACTGCTGCTGGAGAAATGTAGTTTTCCTCCTCCATAAGGCAGAGCAAGGGACAGTGTAAAAGATACTTTAACGTTTAATTTCAGCTGCATTCCAATTGTTTTCTGTCTTACTTCCAGAAGTAGCTTGACTCCAGTCTTGAGAAGCCCTAGGCATTTTAGTGTAATACATTTTATTGATGAATCTAATTGTTTGATGGGGAGAGGTAAAGGTGTTGGATGAACCAATTAAGCAGATGTAAACACATTCACATGCTGTAAGTTGGATTTGTTGGTCTCATTATGTCATGTCAAGGAACATTACGCACTGATCTCCCTTGAAACAGTAACCTCATATACAGTTCAGTTCTGAGCTCTGGAGGTCAAATCTCAAGAATGTTCCAAAGTCTCTTATTTAAAACTCACTAATATGTTGCCTGGATTGTTTTCAGCACTATTCTACTTGAGTAAGCTGGTTCTTCCCATTGACATCTTTCACTGGGTATATGTAAGGACCTGGAAAGAAGATAAAAGGAATAGGCTGGGGAAGGAAGGTGCTCTGGTTAGACCCTGACTTTGATATGAAACAACAGAAGAGGTTGATATATGCATTTCTTATACTTGGCCTAAGTTTACATTAAAAAAAATTCTTTTACTGTTTTATGCTTTTTGAACATGGAGATTTTAAAACATACACAAAGTAGGCAGAATAGTATAATGACCTGTTATACAGCTTCACCAGGTATGCTTTTATTAGTTATCCTCCCATGTCTTCTCATGCAAACAAGTCATCTACATGTGGTTGCCAGTTAAATCAACATTTCTTAGGAAACTTTTTACAAAATTTCAAACAAGTCGGATAAATACAAGATAGCAAAAAGAGGCTCCATTAGTCTTTCTGTTAATAAAAAACCTTTTCTCCTTAATTTTCTTATCTCTGGGTTAATAACAGTGCTGCTGATTCACTTTGGCATATGGGTAGAATGATGTCCTTGACCACAGATCTACCATATTTGGCCTGAGAAATGAGATTTCATAATTTCTTGAGCAATATAGCTTGTAGGTCGCAGGCAAGAAGCAGGCCTCGTCCAGTGGTCACTGCTTTGTCAGGTTAGAAGTCACTGGACTCAACAATTTCTTCTCTGGTCTCTTTAGTTAAACAGGACTTTGTTATGAGTCTAAGATAAGCTAAAGAGGGTGTGTAAAACCTAGTAGACATTTACACTAAACAGACTATATTTGATACTTGGTAAGTTGAAGAAAGTATAGATTTTGAATGTTTTACGTCTTGGGGAAAATCTGGGGAGGGGTGCTTTTTTCTGCACAAATGAGTTAATTTTTAGCAAAGCTGGTTTTAGTGTAATTTGGAGGCTGCTAAGGAAGTGGTAAAAGCTCTGTTTGGCTGGAATTGTTAACAGCAAGGCAACCAGTAGAGATTGTGTTTTAGAATGTTTTAAGAATGTCATTGATTTACCCCAGGCTTACCCATGCACAAAAACCTTGTCACGTGTACTTTGCTCCCCAGGGAAAATAAATACAGTTCCTAGGTGGAACCCTGTGGTGCTGACTCCCGAATCTCTTACAGCATGTGCTGCAGAAGCCTCTTTTGCAGAGCTGTTTTACTGCTGTTATATTGAGAGTCTTGGGATTGACAGTGCTCTCTTGGGCTGGGGAGAACAACTCTGGAAAAGTGACTGAGAGCTGCCATTCTGAGTGTTTCTCCCCATTCTGTTCTTGTACTGAGACAAGCCCTCTACACAGTGTGCCCTGTTTTCCTCCTTAATTTCATCAATAGACATTTATTGAGCTACTTCTGTTTGCTAGGATTAGTGTTAGGATTAGTGAGACAAATGGGGAAAATGGATTTCTATGCTCAAGAGTTTCCATTCCTGGTCATTGAAGACAGTGGGCAGTTAAGGGAAGGAGAGTGAGATGAGGACTGTGGAAATAGTAGTTACAAAGTCAAAAACTTTGAGCTTTAGTTACAATGAAAAGAAACAATGATGGTTGATTTGAAAAAAATAAATCTAAACTTTACTACTTCCCTTAGATAACAGGAAAAGGGCTGTCAGGTAGGAACATGAGCATACAGGTGGGGAAGTCCTTATTTAAATTCAGAATTATGCAAATTCTCTTGTAAACCAGGAAGCTTCATGAGACAATCTCAGTTATTTTTATGCTATTCAACACAAAATCCTTCCTGGTAATTCAATATGAAATACATCTTTTTTGATATCCCTGGAATAAAACCTTCAACATTAGTGCCTGTAAAACATTGTACTTTTCACTTAATTTGTAGAGTTAGGTTTTACTTCAACTGCATAAATCAGCTCATTTGGTAATCAGAAAAACCTCAGGCCTTAATCTGTTTTTCTGTTTTAGCATCTGAAGAGTAAAGTGAATTGGTGTTGCTAGCAGATTAAGTCCAAACACAACTTGTTACATTGTTTTCTTCAATAAAATCTTCAACAGAATCCTCAGCAAGTCTGCCTTGTACACCAGAACAGTTCCCACAAACTTCTTTGAACTGAGGCTCTATGGCCCAGAGAGACCGTTTAAATCTTGTGACAGTTTTGCATTCGTTGAATCCTTTTGTATTTCTTAAAGTGGTAAAGTAATCCATACACCAAGGTCTTCCAGAATTGAGTCTATCGTGTTTTCTGAGGAACCCTGAAAGAGTAGATTATTTGCTTAGGCTTATGATACGGGGGATTTCCTGGTGATACATTTGATCTCTCACCGGTCCAGATCTGCATGTTCACTACCCAGTGATCAGCAATACTTTTTGTATCACAGCTTTCAGACACATATCTCTGAATCACAGATACTGCAGGGAAGGAATCCCAATTTGGTTTCACTGATAATCCAAGATGATGTTTCCTTATTCCCTTTAAGTTCCATTTCACAATTCTTGATTTATTAAAAAATAATAATAATAAGACATAGTGTGAGGTAGTGCTAAGCAGATTAGAGCATTGGGGAGAATCTAGTGATTTGTGAGTCCTTTCGCTACCTTGAAACACAAGGGTAAATCATACCTAGTATATGAATAAATAAATTATAGAATTAGGATTGTTTGAGATGTAAGGCTGTGGAATATTTTACACACAAAATGTTGAATTATTAGCCCCAGCTCTCTTCACCTTTTTAATTTATTATCCACCCTGTGCTCGCCAATGTTAGCTTCTCCCCGTTTTTCACATCCTTTTTTATGCAAGGTCCTTATTTATAGGTTTGACTGCCTAAAAATAGTCTTCCTGTGCTTATTTGCCTCACTGATTCCTTTTCATGCTTTTAAGTTACAGAGGTAACTTAGAACTTTTTTAGAGAAAAAGTTTCCTCTCTTTTGCCATTCTCTTTTTGATACTTTTACCAGGTTCAGACTCCTCTCTTGTGGGGTTTCTTAGAGTATTTGTAATATTTGAAGCTATTTACATGGCTCAGGAAATAGATTCCTTTCCCCCTCATTACCAGAACAGTCCAGTAGTATTATCTTGGTGTGTGTGTTCTTCCCTTGTAATCCAGATAAACTAAAAGATTGTTTCCAAAAGTTTCTAATGGTATTAGGTCTAAGAATAAATTTTGCAGTGAGCCTCTCCTCTCTAGTCTCACTTCAGAATAAGTATTTCTTGTGATGGTATTGAAAGGAGAAAGTTACTGGAGCTTCCTGTCCTGGGTTGCATTAGGGGAAATGATTCTCTTTCTTCAGGAAACTAAACAAGTTACCTAATACAGGTTCTTTTTTTTACTCCCTTAATGTAGGCTCTTCCTTTCTTCCCTTTTTTAGAAGACAGCAATGACGTAAATGAGTCGTAGTTTCCCTAAAACACTCTGAACTTCTCCCTGTCTCTCATTTTGACAGTATTATCTTTAGCACTGTTTGGATGTTTTAGAATGATACCTGAAAAAATACTTTTCTGACTTTTAACAAAAACCCCTGAGGTAATGATATTGTAAACTTTGAAACATTAAGATCCCTCAATAGTAGTTCTTCTGGTTTTAGGATATTTGATATAAATGTTAGTTTGGGCTGCTATAGCAAAATACCAAGCATTGTGGGTGGCTTATAGATAACAAATTTATTTCTTGCAATTCTGGAAGGTGAAAGGCTGAGATCAGGTTTGAGTTCTGGTGAGCAGCTTCTTCCACTTGCCAGCTGCCAACTTGTATCCTCACGTGATGGAGAGCAGAGCAGAGCAGACAAGCTCTCTTGACTGATGAGCATGCTAATCCCTTTCATGGGCTCCACCCTCAAGACTTCATCTCATCCTAATTACCTCCCAGAGGCCCCACTTCTACTACCATCACATCGGGGAGTAGAGTTTTAACATGTGCATTTTGGGGAGGAGGGACACAAACATTCAGTCCGTAACAGTAATATATCACATAGGCAAAAAATACATTTCACCTGTCTTCCAGAGTACACGTTCATATTGTAAATGTTTACTATAACGCCGCTTATGATATGAGTGCTAGTCCTGTTTCCTGACCCTTATATTTTAGAGAACTTTCATTGTTTTTGTATATCATTGAACGTCTCTGGTATTGCTCGAAGATTATTCCTATAAATGTCATGGTAATGTATTGAATCTACATGTCATTTGAGAACTAGAGCTAATAAGGGAAAATCCCTCAGTTATTTCCTTCCCTTTCACTTTATTTTTTTTTATATTTTTATAGTATTTATATAATATATTATTACATTTTCTGTTTCTTTGATGGTTAATACAAAGATGGGGTTATGTACTTGAAGTTTTAGAGCATCCCTAAGTCATTTATGTAAATCAAATAGTTTAAACCAGTAACTACCATTCTTTTTTGCATTTTGGTTCCCACTTTAACATGTTTTTCCCCTGCTTTCTATTTCTAAATAAAAATGTTCTGTTTCTTAACTAAATAGAATGGTAAGTTTTGTGTAAGTCTTGATTTTGAAAATAGCATAAGCTGTTGAAAATAGATTTTCATTAGTGTATCTTAGATGTGATCTTGAGAAGCTGGCCTCATTGATAGTAAGTAGTAGCAGATGCTGTATTCTTGGTTTGCTTGTTTAATTATCATGTACCTTTTGAGTCTCACAGTTGATTAAAGCTAGAAACACTGCAGACTACTAACAGGGTCTTGGGAGGAACACCTACATAAGCATAATTAAGTATTAAAATTGTTTTAAGTGGGAAAGTTTTTCTTACCTGGTTTCCTGGAGTAGAACAAGGAAGTTTTGTATGTTGTTTTATGAAATATTTGACGATGGATTATAAAAGTAAATTAAGCTAGAATGAACAAAATGAAAGGTTTTCAAATGCACCTTTGCCAACCCCTCATCTCTTAGGACCCAGAGTTCAACAATACAGATCAGATTGATCTGTATGATGACGTGTTGACAGCCACCTCACAGCCCTCAGATGACAGAAGCAGCAGTACTGAGCCACCTCCTCCTGTTCGCCAGGAGCCATCTCCCAAGCCCAATAACAAGACCCCTGCAATTCTGTACACCTACAGTGGTCTGCGTAACAGGCGAGCTGCTGTCTATGTGGGCAGCTTCTCCTGGGTGAGCATGGGTAACTAAAAAAGCTTATGGGTGGGCTGGAGGGAGAGCACTGGGAGGTAATGGCATTTTCAAAAACCACTGTTGCACTGTTTTGTGCTCTGATGGGGTTGGATTTCTTTTTCCTGGGATCAGGTTGGATTGATCTCTGAAAGAGAACTATCCTGAGGACGTACTGGTGCCGAAGAAAGCAATGATTAAGTGGGTAGTTGCTTTTTCTGCCATCTTGTTACCGCCCCTGACCCTGGGGCTTTATGTCTACCAGGGTCATCTGTGGGATGAGATTTCAGAGTGAACACCTTGAACTCATGGTGGTCATTAGGTGGTCCTGTGATAATGATGGGTGAGAGGGATCAAAGACCTTGGTAGCTCTAGTACACTCGGGGTAGGTGGTGACTGTTGTTCTGCAAAAGTTACTATGTGACATATTTTGGGCGGTGGTGGGAGGCGATTTTTTCAAATTAAATGTATATATTGAGGGGGAAGTTGCTGACAGTGGTCAACTCTAGCCTGTCAGATCTACAGTTAAAGGCTGCTAGTAATCAGTGTCTGAACTGATGACCAGCCAGCCCAAATGGCGATCAAAGTTAAAATAGATTTTAATCCTCTTAGTCTCTGAAGATGGGGATTGGGGCAGGGGTGGGTGGTTTTGGAATTCTGTATGGGTGAGGACAATAGGAAAAGCCTGCACCAATTGAAATGTTGGTGGCCTTCTGGGTTTCCTGTGGGAGGTCATGGTTGTGACTAGAATCCTAGCATTGGGGGAAGGGTTTGGAACATTCTGGGGCAGGGGGTGTAGCTCTTGACATTTCTTCCTTTTCCATCTTGCCGGCCCCAGTGGACCACAGACCAGCAGCTGATCCAGGTTATTCGCTCTATAGGAGTCTATGATGTGGTGGAGTTGAAATTTGCAGAGAATCGAGCAAATGGCCAGTCCAAAGGGTGAGGTCTGGATTTCAGAAGCCCCTGTTAGTTTGTAACCATTGGGATAACAGATGTGTACTGTTACTTTGGTCCTGTAATTTAATCCTTCCCACCCCTGGCCCAGTTTACTGCCTTGGTTTTGGTAAACTACCTTAGAATGGGGACCTAGCTGCAATGTAGGGGAACATCCATCCATTGAAGGGCAGAGAAAACTGGTTTCTAATTCCAAATAAATAGGAAAATTTTACGCTGACACCTTTTTGTTGTTGGTAGTTTTGTGTTTAATATTAGCAAGATATCCTTTGCTTTACCAATTCTCACTAAAAATGAAAGGGAATTTCTGTGTTCCTCTCTTGGTTGTCTAGTAGATCTCACTCATTTAAAATTTTTCTTCCTCAAGGTATGCTGAGGTGGTGGTAGCCTCTGAAAACTCTGTCCACAAATTGTTGGAACTTCTGCCAGGAAAAGTTCTTAATGGAGAAAAAGTGGACGTGAGGCCGGCCACCCGGCAGAACCTGTCACAGTTTGAGGCACAGGCTCGGAAACGTGAGTGCGTCCGAGTCCCAAGAGGGGGTACGTGGAGACCATCTGTATGAAGTGGGGGAAGTTTGTGGGTTTGTTTTCTGTGGTGGAGGCTTGGCCTACAATGTGGAGGGGTTTGGGGAGGGTGGTGGTGATTATGGGTGGCAGCGTGGCAGTAGGTAAGCCGAAAAAATGAGGCTTGTATACAAGAAAGAAAGAGCACTATGCTGGGAATCAGGTAGGTTCAGGTTACAGTTTGGTTCTGCCACTAACTCATTGTGTGACCTTGGGCAAGGTGCTTTACTGTTTAGGGCCTACTTCCCTACTGGAACCAGACATACAATGTATAAAGTTCCCATCAGCTCTAAACTATGTCTCTGTCTGAAAAAATCAGTGTAGAGTGAATGGGCTTAATTATAAAACATGCTTCTCTATAAGGTATTAAGAAACAACCATCCTAAAATATAAGTATGTTACATAAAGATGGCTGTAATCTTATAAACATACATTGGAAGGATGTTCTGTAAGGAATCGACCAAAAGGAGTGCTGGAGAGTAAGAATTTAACAGTGTTTCTCCAGCATTGTCCAGGGGAATGGGTACCCTTTCGATTACCTGCTATTTCAGTCTGCTAGGCAAATGTTTGCTATTAGTAAAGAAAGTTGCATCATACTGCCTTACCC